TAAAACAATATACACAGTTCATGGTAATAAACAATGGGCTTATTAGTCTAAATAAAGTAATAATCATTTTCAGATTTTCTTTTTCACAAAATCAGTTCTGTGCTCACTTGTTCAATACTATTTTCCATGTAACTGGATCCTGCCCAGAAAAGAAACTGAAATGAGATGAAGACAAGGAAGGAACAAGGACAAGGAGTGTAAACAAGGGTCCAACAGAAAATTCAGTTTGGGTGACTGTCTGATGCACTATTTACTTCCTTCATTTTATATGAAAATGTATTTGCTGGAAACTAATATACACTGTCACTGACCCAAAATAATGATTAATATTATTTTCTGTCAACCTGTTTTAACAAGATCCTCAGTTAATAATTAACATATTATAGTTTGATTGCAATCACATTTGTTTTTAAGATTTTTACCTCTTTTGATTCCAAGTGACAGTGTAATCTTCTTGAGCTTTGAAAACCTGGAACATCGATTTCTAAAACATAGAAAATGTGTAAATGTAAGGTTTTGGTAAAACTTTATGAAAATATTCATAATAATCTTAGTATACACTTCACATCTTAGCTGTTTGATTTTAAAGTGTACCTCATTTATATGAAAGAAGAGTAGATTTTCCTATTATATGAGAGGTATAACTATCTTTCAGATATTAGGCTGACATATTTTATTATTGAGATAACCTCATAGAATATATACTTTTAATGTCCAACCCCATAACTCTCTATTAATTTTAACTAGAAAAATAATTTGGACTTTGTCTCTAGTTATTTGCTTACTACATTCCCATGTTTGGAAACTCTACCAAAATACTTAAGAATCATTCAGAACTTGCTTAGTTTACCATTAAACATCTGGCTTTTTATCCTCTGTTATGACACCATTAGTATCAGAAGCAGCAGAGAAGGAGGAAAATGAATGTGATGGGTATACTTTTCTTGTCTCGTATCCACAAATTCATGAAGAAGTTGCCCCAGACCTGAAGTGTTTAACCCCTTGCTCTGCCCTACACCATAATATCACTAGTCTACATAATTTACCATATAAATTGCCTCATACAATTTCTAGAATTTCCCTTTTAAATTTTACTGTGAATCTATTTTTTACCAATTGCATCAACCACACTATAATTTAAATGTATTATTTTCTCATATGGATTTAAACAAGGATTTAGTACTTCTTCCCACCATGCACTATTTTTACATGGAAGAGCTAGTAAAATTCATTTAAAACAACAAGGAACATAATTTATTATACCTCTCAAAATATTCAAAATGTTTCTCATAACACTTAGAATAAAATAAAATGTAAAGCTCCAACAATGATTGACACAAACTGCTTAATTTCCTCCTTCTAATTCTAATGGCCATACCAAACAAATGGCACTTCAAAAGTGTATGTTTATCATTTTCCATTTTGACTACAGGTAATTCTTCACCATTTCATTTTTGAAGTCCAAAAACATATTATTCAACTTTTTCAAGAATTCATGTTTAGTCCAACCTACTGGAAATATCTTCACCCAAGATACATGGCTGTATAGTCTTAATAGTCATCTGGCTACTTTAATGATATAACAACTGTAGTCATACCAATTTTTAAACAAAGCCTCATGTATTCCAGAATAGTCTTCAACTTACTGTGTAATTGTGACTATACTTGAAATCCTGAAATTCCTGCCTCTAACTCCCAAGTGCTAGAATTATAGGTCTGAGCCACCATCCTTAGTATAATCAATTTCAGTTCATTCATTCTCATTTCTATACATTATTAATTCTAGGAATATATGATTATTTATTTATCATGTTAATCATGAAAGGCTTCTCTCGGATATCAAGCAACAATGCTATTCTTAAAAAGTTACTATGGATATTCTTTTATATTTTTTTCTATTACCGTTAGCCTTAGAACTTTTTTTTTAGAAAAGTTTATAATACACTTTTTGATCGGTTTTTCATTATCTGAGAATTAATTTAAGGGATTCTATTTTTCTTATTCTGTCATTGTTTCTGCCAGCAATTACTGTAACACTTAGAAATCATGGCTGGAGATGTGGGTCATTGTAAAGTCTTTGTCTTGCAAGCATGAAGATATAAGTTTAGATTCCTAGAACTCAGGTTAAAAGCTGGATGTCACATTGGACATTAGTAGACCCATTGCTGAAGTCAGGTAGAATCCAGGGGCTCACTGCCCATTCAGTCTAGAAAGAAAGTTATGTTCAGGTTCACTGAGAGATCCTTAGAACGCAATAGTGTAAGATACCCAGCACCAGCTGCTAGTTTTCACAAGTATGCACATACATGCAAGCACACCCAAACACACATATGCATATATACCATCAAACAAAACAAAGTATAGTCATATCATCTTACTCGGAATTCATTCAGATTTGAAGGTAGCTAACATGTTACCAATTAACTATCTTTGTGCAGCCCTTCTCCTTTCCTATAGCATCCCATAAAAGACTCCTATACATTTTGAAGGCTATAGGAAATATTATGGTAGTTCTATAGTATCAGGCTTTCTTGATAAAAATTATGTCTTAAATGGAATGGAATCTAAAAATATGTGCCTAGAGTTTCTTACAAAATAATAAAGGGGACATGGCTCAATATTAAATTGGCAGCTCAGTTATTTATGACCATGTACACTTTAAATTCATCAATTGATTTAAATCTTGACTATGTGCAGGGAACTAAACTCTGCTAACTAAGGGTTCCTGAAAGAAGTACAGGAAACTTGAGTCAACCTTGAATTTCAGATAAACAATGAAAGTTTCTGTGGGAAAAAATATGTCTATCATAGAATCTAAGATCTGTTCAAACTGAAAAGTGTTTGCTTGAAAATCAATTAGCTATATTGTTAGTTTATGCTAAGACCTATATATTTTTGCCAGATATATTTTTTCAAGGTTTTATCAAAATATCTGAATGGCTTAAGTTTCTTATATGTTACAAAATCACCAGCTATGGAGTTCTTAGTTGACCTTTAATTTCTCTTACTTTTATTTTTATTTAATACTGTACATTTACTTCAAACACATATTTGAGACATTTATGAAACTATTTTGCTTAAAGAAGATTGCTTTGCACTGATAGTTGTTCCTTACTAAGACTATTTCTACAAATTCATTAAATTGCAATATTCAAGAGAATTTTGTGTGGGCTAAAAATGGTACAATTCTCACAATATGAAATTAAGCCCCTAAACTTAGACCAGAACTGGATTCCCTTAAGTTGTCCTCCAGTGCACATACTATCCACATGAGTTTAATTGTAAAAACACAACAAAGGCAAAACAAAGAAAGAATAAGCAGTACATGTAGCAGCCTCATCTCTGCTGAAGCAGAGTTCTTAAGCTGAAGGGGGGATTGTATGAGAAAAGAAACAAAAACAAGATGCCCTAAGATACCAAAATAAGTGAGATACAATTTGAAGCTTTCTGAACTTCACCAGCTACTATACTGAAGTGGAGCAGCTGCATCTCTGCTGAAGCAGAGATCTGAAACTGTGAAAGAAAGGAAAAGAAAGGAAGGAACGAAGAAGGGAGAATGGGAATGAAGAAAGAAAGGAAAAAGAGAAAGGAATAAAGAAAGAAAGAGAGAAAATTAAAAAAAAAAAACTACCCTAAGATAAAAAGATCTGTGAGATAATGAGTCGAAGCTTTCTGAACCTCATAAGCTACCGTAATAATATGGAGCAGCCTCATTCATTTCTGTCAAAGAACAGGTCTGAAACTGAAAAAGAAAAAAAAAAGAAAAAAGAAAGAAATACAAGCTGTCCCAAGGCAACAAGAAGTGTGAGATAACGATCTGAAGCTTCGCGAACCTCATCAGCTACTTTACTAACATGGAGCTGCCTCATCTCTGTCGAGGCAAAAGTCTGCAAAAAAATAAATAAATAAATAAAATAAAAAGAGAGAGAGAGAAAACCGAAAAGTACCTAAGATAGGTAAAATAGGATTCAAAGCTTTCTAAACCTCCTCAGCTACCGTACTAACATGGAGCCGCCTCATCTCTGTCAAAGCAGAGGCCTGCAAAAAATGAAAAAGAAAAAGAGAGAAAAAAAAAAAAAAAACCCAAAAACTACCTAAGATAGGTGAAATTGGGTTCGAAGATTTCTGAACACCATCAACTACCTTAACAATGTGGAGCAGCCTCATTTCTGTCGAAGCACAGGACTGAAACTGAAAACAGAAAAACAAACAAAAAAAAACAAAAAACAAAAACAAAAACAAAAAAACAAAAACAAAAACAAGGTGCCCTAAGATAGCAAGAAGTGTGAGATAACGATCCGAAGCTTTGCGAAACTCATCAGCTACTGTAATAACATGGAGCCGCCTCATCTCTGTCAAAGCAGAGGTCTGCAAAAAAAGAAAAAAAAAAAAAGAAACAGAAAAAGAAAAAAAAAAAAACACAAAAACTACCTAAGATAGGTGAAATAGGATTCGAAGCTTTCTGAACCTCATCAACTACCATAACAATGTGGAGCAGCCTCATTTCTGTTGAAGCACAAAAAAAAAAAAAAAAAAAAAAAAAAAAAAAGAGGAAAAAAGAAAAAGGAAAAAGACAACAAGGTGCCCTAAGATAGCAAGAAGTGTGAGATAACGATCCTAAGCTTTGCGAACCTCATCAGCTACTGTACTAACATGGAGCTGCCTCATCTCTGTTGAAGCAAATGTCTGAGTGAGAGAGTGAGAGAGTGAGTGAGAGAGTGAGAGAGAGAGAGAGAGAGAGAGAGAGAGAGAGAGAGAGAGAGAGAGAGAGAGAAAGTACCTAAGATAGGTGAAATAGGATTCAAAGCTTTCTGAACGTCATCAGCTACCTGATCAGCAGCCTGATTTCTGTAGAGGCACGGGGCTGAAACCCCCCCCAAAAAAAAAAAAAAGAAAGAAAAAAAGAGAAACAAAAACAAGGCGCGCTAAGATAGCAAGATGTGTGAGATAATGATGCGAAGCTTTGTGAACCTCACCAGCTACCATAACAGCCATCAATTATGTCGGCAAGCTGTTTCCGGTCCCCCATTTTGTTGGCCTCCCATTTTACCTGCAACCACTTCTCGCCTGTTGGGTGTGTCAGTCTGTCACCACTTGGTGAGATTTTTGCAGTTGACTGTGAGCCTGATGGCCTTCCTAAAGTCCTAGTGGTTAGTGATTTACCCAGTTCACACCCACTGGAGCAAATATCCCTAAAAATGTCGTTACAAAAGAGCAACTCAGATGCCGCAATCAATCCTGAGAAAAGAAGGTGGCTCAGCTGCTCGGACAAGACTTCTGGTGCCCCAGCAGACACAAAGACGGTTTCTGATACCAAAACCAAGGGTACAGAAACGAGTCCAACAGCAAGTAGCGATGTTGCTGACCCCGGAGCTAGCAGTGTTTCCCTCCCTCACGGTACTGACCTCGAAAATTCTGGCGACGGTTTCCAGGCTGACAACGGTGATGAAGATGGCGATGTTCACGCTGATAACGGTCACAATAATGCCAAGAACTCCAATATTCTTGGCTTGGAGGACACTGACAATTTTATCAGCAGTTTGGGAAGCTTGGTAAGCCAGCAACAGTTGGAGGAAGGTGAGGGTACGGAAGAGCACCGTGAGGGAAGCCTGTACCGCCACCTTGAGTCAGGGGAGGAGGCCGGTGAGGTCATAGATGAACAGGAAGTGGAAAGCCACTTCCGCCCCCAGGAGATGGGGGCCGGCGAGGCTGTGACTGAGTGGGGTGAAGTGGTGCGTGAAGTACGTGAAGCACACGAACAGTCCACTGAGAACAGCAGTTATATGGAAGAAGACCGTGCACTAGATGAGTGGCTGGCTTTAGATACATCTCCTCTCCCGAAACCTCGATGGAATGTCCTTAATGCCCTTCGCGATAGGCAGTTGGGTGCAAGTGCCCGCTTTGTTTATGAGGCCTGTGGGGCAAGAGTCTTTGTGCAGCGTTTCTCACTACAGTATGTTTTTGAAGGCCACGATGGATGTGTCAACACTGTGCATTTTAACCAACACGGCACCCTGCTGGCTAGTGGCAGTGATGACCTAAAAGTGATTCTGTGGGACTGGCTTCATCAGCGACCAGTACTTAACTTTCGTAGTGGCCACAAAAATAATATCTTACATGCTAAATTTCTTCCTAATTGTAATGATTCCCTCTTAGCCATGTGTGGCCGTGATGGGCAGGTACGCATTGCACAGCTATCTGCTATTCCAGGCACTCCGATGACTAAACGTTTGGTGAAGCATGAGGGAGGATCTCATAGATTGGCTTTGGAGCCAGACTCCCCATTTAGGTTCCTAACGTCAGGTGAAGATGGAGTTGTTTTCAGTATTGATCTCAGACAGGCCCAACCAGCTTCAAAGGTGCTGCTAACCAAACATGGTGATAAGAAAGTAGGATTGTATTCAATCTTTATGAATCCTTCTAATTTCTATCAGTTTGCCGTAGGTGGGCAAGATCAGTTTGTGAGAATTTATGACCAAAGGAAAATTGATGAGAATGTCAACAATGGAGTTCTCAAAAAATTCTGCCCTCATCACCTTCTGAGCTATGATTATCCAGCATATATCACCTCTGTGATGTATAGTTATGATGGCACAGAGCTCCTGGCTAGCTACAATGATGAAGATATTTATATTTTCAACTCTTCTGATATCGATGGAGCACAATATGCTAAGAGATATAAAGGGCACAGAAATAATGCCACAGTGAAAGGTGTACATTTTTATGGCCCCAGAAGTGAGTTTGTGATGAGTGGTAGTGATTGTGGGCACATCTTCATCTGGGAAAAGTCATCCAGCCAGATTGTTCAGTTCTTGGAGGCAGATGAAGGAGGAACAATAAACTGTATTGATCCCCATCCTTACCTACCTGTGCTTGCATCCAGTGGCCTAGACCATGAGGTCAAGATCTGGGAACCCACAGCTGAATCTTCCAGGAAGCTTACTGGGTTAAAGAATGTGATTAAAATTAATAAGCTAAAACGAGATAATTTTAGCTTGCACCACACTTCCCTTTTTGATAACCACATGCTTTGGTACCTCATGAGTCACTTGACACAGACACAACACAATTGGAGAGGTATTAGAATTGAAGTGGGAGGAGCAGATTTCAGTGACTCTTCTAGTACCTCTGAAGAGGAAGGAAATGGAGAAGAATCACAGTGCCAGACATCCTAGACTATGTTCTAGGGCCCCACCTGAAGTTGAATAGCATTTAGTACATGGAACTTTAAAAAATTAGCTTGAGTAGTAGATTTTTGTTTGCCTTCTATTTGCATCATTTTATAGTAAGTGTATTTTCTTTTTTCTCCTTTCATATTACCTGGTTTTGTTACTCCGTATTAGCCCTTATATTACATGATTATATAATAGGCTTCCTTTGTTCTCTCACAATTGACTAAGGAATAGCCTAAAAATTTGGTGAGAATTAGTAGTTCTCTAAGATATTATTTCTGTTCCAAAAATTGTTTGATTTTAAAAATATTCAGTAATTTTGAATATTAATGTTTTTGTTGTAAATTTTTAAGAAATGATTTTGCTCTAAAATAAAGTAAAATTAAACTAACCATGGTTTTGCTATTTTACTGCGGATCCTTGGTCATGCACACATCATATAATTTTTTGGCTGTTTTACACAAAAAATGAAGAGGATAAAACAATTTTGTTCTTAATAAGATAAGTAATTATGTAACTTTGGTTTATTCACATTTTCTGAACCCACATTACTAATATGGAATTATTTAAGCACATTATAGCTGGAAAGAATTTAAATTTAATCACTAAGTTGTTTAATTGGCCATTTCAATGTTTTTGAAATGTCATGGTTGAAAATTACTACAGGATTATCTTCCAAAAAGTGCTCCTGGGTTAATCTTTTCTATGCTTCTCACCAAATTTAATAATTCTTTTATGTTGAAACTATAACAGCTGTGATAAGAGCTGGCTTGTATTTTTATAAAATAATATGATGTAAAACAATTTGAAGAACACTTTTATTAGCCAGAGATATGGATTAGCAGGCTAAGAGTACTGGTTGATTTTTCCAAAGGATTCAGGTTTGAGTGGTGGCTTACTGCTGTCTGTAACTCCACTTGAAGAGGCTGCAGCATCATCTTCTGACCTCTAAGGGCACTAGGCATGCACAGAGTCCACAGACAAAAATAAATATTTTTTAAAGAAATGAAAATGCTTTTAGGCATCCATGCCTTGTTTAAAACTGCAATATAGCTTAGATGAGATTAAATTGCTTTTAAATTATTTTCAGTTTTATTGAATGTGAATTGGGGATAGTGAATTACCAAATTATATTAAGTTTTCACTTTTTTTTCCATTTGTGTGTTATTTGGGTAAAAGTATGCAGAAAATCGGCTTCTTCTAAATTTCATTTAGAGATATCATATCGTTTGCAGACAACTGTTTAAATGAATGATGCCTTGAACAAAGTTCACTGTTCACTGAGAATCAGAATTAAGGATAGGTGCCTAGGGACCTAGAAGCCTAAAGAAGCTGCTATATGTTGGTTGTCAAAAAGGGTTAGCAAACATCACAAAAGAAACTTGCCTCCAGAAAGCAGTGAGTCTGAACTTCGCACTGTGGTTTTTTAGAAGGCATATGGTCTGGGGAGATGTCTGTGGGGTAAAAGTCTGGGAGTGAAAGCATGAAGATGAGCTCACACACCTGCAACCTAAATAAAACTAGATAGACTTTCGAGATAGACTTTTGCCTGAGTAAAAGAGGCAGAGACAAAGTCTTTGGAGCAACCTAGCTAGACAAACAAGAACAGTAATAACTGCATTTAGCAAGAGACCTTGTGTCATCATATAAAATGGAGTGTTGTTGAAGTTGCCTGATAACAGCCTTGGTCCTTCACATGCAAGCACCTGCAACTGCATTCATACACATACATTTGTGAAAATAATTGAGAGGACATGAGGAGAACGGAGTTATTACCTAGGACTCTGTTTGGAGCATCCTTTAAAAATGAATAGTATGTATGCTAGCAATAGTACAATTTCTGATGACTGTCATATTGACAAAAAAAAGACTAGTTCTTTCATACTTGCTGTATGTAAAAAGGTCTTTCTCTAGAGAATATTTACTCTTAAAATCGTTTAGGGTCCCATGAATTGATCTATGGTTGTTTTGTCATGATAGTATTTGGCAAAATGATTTGAAAGATTAGGTAATGTCAAATGTGCCAGGCACTGTAGCAATAATTCATTGTTGCTCATATGTGGGCTAACTCTTTTTTGTGTTGGGTATTATTTTAGACAACCAATACTTCAGATACCTTACACATATACTTTTGTAAGGGGCGTTTTTTTTTTTGTTGTTGTTGTTTTTTTTTTTTTTCAGGGCACCTAGACCACCCCATATTGACCTGGGTTTGTGAGATCAGCACCTGTTCCAGATATTCCTTAATGTTCCAGATAATCCTCATGGATTCCCATCTATATTGTCTCCAGAAATTTCACAACCATTGCTTCTTTCATAATTTTTTGTTCACTTCAGTTTCTAATATCTAAAGCAAAAACAAAAATGTATTAAGACTTCTTAGCTGGGGCCTAGAGCAAGTCTCAGAGCTTTAGATCACCTGTTGCTCTTGCAGAAGGTCTGGGATCAATTCTCAGCAGCACATGGTAGCTTACCAATATCCACAACTCTAGTTCCAGGGAATCTAATCCTTTATTCTGCCCTCTGTGGGTACATACTTAAATGTGGTGCACACACATCCCATATATTCATGTAGGAAAACATTAATACAGATAAAATAAAATTTATTTTAAAATATTTTTTTCTTAGCCAACTCCTACAACTAATTAAGGCTTAAACACGATGGGAAATACCTTGTTAAACATGTTTCACCCACAATGTTTCTGTTATTCTGTTTGAAGCTGAGATGCGCAATTTCCCCTCCCCTAAAAACTTGGGCGAGAAATTTCTATGTTAGTGGGATTTGTATAGTTAATCATTTGGGAGCATTAATTACCTATAAAAGAAGTTGTTTATACATACACACACACATATATAGTTAGGTGGCTAGATAGAGATATACTGTGTATTATGTATCTATGTATCTATTTAATATCTATATAGGGAAAATTATAGTTCAATTGAGAAAATGCATGGCACAAGCCTGCTCAGCCCTTCATGAGTAGAAACAGGAGAATACCGAGTTCATTGCTATATAGCATGTACTGAGATCAAGGAAAGGCTGAGTATATAGCAAACCCTTGCATTTAGGGCATATGAATATATATTTCCTGCATCATGGAAACTTAAAGGTAGACAAGCTAAGTTCACAAGAAGACAAGCATATTGTGTGTGTGTGTGTGTGTGTGTGTGTGTGTGTGTGTGTGTGTGTGTGTAATCTATGCATCTTAACAGCAAACTCACAGGAACAGCACAGATGACACATAGCATTAAAACATGTACTTGCATGTAGGATGACTCAGAAAAGTATAGTAAATGGAGGAGATGCAGTGTATAAAAAAAAAAAACTGCTGCAAACTCTATTTAGTTGTCACCAATAAGAAATTTACTTATGTTTTAAACTTCCAAATGCTGGCATTGTCAAGAAATTTTTTCTTTTTTTCTTTTTTTTTTTTTTTTTTGGTGGGGTTGGGGGTTTCAGACAGGGTTTCTCTGTATTGCTTTGGAATCTGTTCTGGAACTAGCTCAGTTGACTAAGCTGGGCTCGAACTCATAGAGATCCACCTTCCTCTGCCTCTGGAGTGCTGGGATTAAAGGTGTGCACCACCAACGTCTGTTTTGTTTATACTTGTTATAAATATGAACTATTGAAATGTGTCCATTAAAACATTTTCCTTACATTAATTTCCTTACATCACTTCCTCCATGAAGTGAATAAAAATATGTTTTCAGGAAGGAAATAAACTCTAATAGCATCATTTTAAAAAGTAAGAATTAAATAATTTAATGAGGATCAATTTGCATATGTTAAAAAATAAAACTGTACAGATATTTGAATTTTATATTTAACCATAAAAACATGAGAATTCAGAAATTGTCATTCCAGAAATTTTCACCAAATAACTTTCCACTAATCAGCCCCTATTACTGGAGAAATGGTTACCATTCAGCTTCTAGGATTATTTATATTATTGTTTTGCTTTTTCTTGAACTCCATTCGGTAAATATGTTTCTCTAATTGGTTAATGAATGAAGTGCTGTTGGCCAATAGGAAAGAAATATAGGTGGGACTAGGAGACATGGAGGATTCCGGAAGTAGTAGGGAGGAGTCAACAGGGAGATATTGGAGAGAGCAGAACGCCTGACCCTCTCTCCAGTAAGATGAGACCACGTGGAAATACTTAGATTAACAGAAATGGGTTAAGAATGGGATAAGAAAGTACCTGGCCAAGAGCATTATATCAAATACAGAGTCTCTTTGTGTTATTTGGGGCTGGCACGGCTCTGGGCCCAGGTCTGCAGGAAAATCCTACTTCTAACATACAGGAAACATTGTAGTGTGTCCTGTGTTTTGCTTAACTCTGTTCCTGATAGGCAAACGATATCAAGGTCAACTTCAGGCACATTCAAAATGAAATTTCTTATTATCTTTTCCAATTAAAATTTATGTCTTCGAAAATGTTAATACTAAATTATCCCTCAAATTAGCATTTTGTTTCTGGTAATAATTCATTTTCAAATTAATATATGAAAACAAAATAAGGTGGGTATACTGTTAATCCCAGCATTTGGGAACTAGAGACAAGAAGGATCAGGAGTTCAAGGCTAGACTTGGCTTTTGTGGTGATTTGAATTAAAAACTTTTCCCCATCACCTTGAGTGTTCGAACACTTGATCCCCACTTCATGGTGCTGTTTGGAGAGTTTTAGAAGGTGCAACCTTGATTGTGGGAGTGAATCATTGGGGGTTGGCTTTAAGAGTTTATACCCACACCCTACTTCCAACTGCTCTCCTTGCTCGTACATTTGGTTGGAGATTGCTGTGCCTGTACAACTGGACACTGTCTAGATGGAGGATGTCGAGATTAATCACATAGACTTCATCTTAACATTGTAGGAGTGACCTTTTATTGAAAGCTTACAGACAGCTTATATACACATAGCCACTGGGTGGTAGGGCAGCTAGAAACAGGGAAGTCACCTCTCCCATGAGAACTGGGTATGGTCATCATGTTCTGAGCAGTA